GGCTACCTCCTGCATGCCCCATACTGAGGATCAAGCCAAAACCTGGCATGTGCCCTGACCAGGAATTGAACTGTGACCTCCTGATTCCTGGGCCAATGGTCAGCCACTGAGCAATACCAGCTGGGCATACTCCCACATTTCTAAATAGCATGCCCATACACTGTTGCTTGATGTTTCCACCTTGGATGCTATTCTAGTATGGAAAAGGAAATTTTACCTTTAACCCCACACATTCTCAAAAAGCATCCTTCTGTACCCTTCATCCTCTCAACACAGTTATATCACAACATAGTTATTTGATTAACATGGGAGGTGTTTGCAGGGTAGGTCTGGAGGGTTCTGTAACATTTTATTTGAATCTCTTGCTTTCTGGGTTTTTTTTCATTATTTTTGTTGATACTATTATAGTTGTCCCCATATCACAAGCTTTAAATCAATAATCAGCATTTACACAATTATTATCTTATGTATATTATTCATGGCTGAGCTTATGTTATTCTATGATTTTGTTTTATTTCTTGTAAACGTCATGCTTATCCTAAGGATAGTAATTATCTCCCTTCCCCTACCTCTGGCTTGTTTGTTTGCTTGCTTTGGTGTTCTCTGTAATGATTATAGCCAAATTCTCTGTAAGACATGTAAACCTTTCAGTGCATTCAAAAGCATCAGTCAATATTTCAGGTAGTATCTATCTATCTATCTATCTATCATCTATCTATCTATCTATCATCTATCTTGCTAGAGCTGTCCACTTTACTATCTCAATCTGACTTGCTGCATAGTTGTCATCCTGGTACCCCCCCTTCCCATCACTCCTGGGTTGATGCCCTGTTTCCTAGATCCTATTTCTTCTTCCTTCTTGTTTTATGGAGTATACTTTGCAATAGCTCCTTGAGATGCCATAGGGGTTACTTTTTTTTTAGACTTTTGCATAATAATGCAAACTGCTATTATTCTACCCTCATACTTAATTAAAAGTTTGGTTGGGGAGCATTTTAAGTTGGAAATCATTTTCCCAGGTAATTTTGAAGGCAGTGCTCCATTGTTTTCTGCTGTCTGTGTTATTGTTGAAAAATCTGAAGCCATTTTCCTAATCCTGCTTATTTGATGTCTCCCCTACCTCAGGAATTTTTTAGGATTTCTTTTTATCTTCAAGAGCATTAAATTTCAGAGATGAAGTTGGGGGTGAGTATTTCCATTCATTGTGCTGACAGCTCTAGAAAGGATGTTTCCAAGAAAAGAAAAGGGAGAATTATTATCTCTAAGGTAAGCAAGGAGTTTGAGAAAGGAAACTTTCTGTAAACTCAGCCATGAGTAATATTCACAAGTCATAATAATGTAAGTACAGATTACTGATTTAAAGCTTGTATCCAAAAAATAGAAAAAACTCAACAACTCAAAAACAAGATGAAAAACAACCCCAATTTTTAAAGTTGGCAAAATAGTTGAAAAGATACCTTACCAAAGATATTCCACTAGATCTTTACCAAAGAAAAAATGAAACTGTCTACCCAAAGATTTATACATGAAATGTTCATAGCAACTTAATTCGTAATCGCCTCTAAATTAAACAATGCAAATGTCCATAAGATAATAAATTGTGATACAGTTATATAGCACAGTTACTCAGCAATACAAAGAACAAACTGCTGATACAATGAGGAATATATATATTGACTGAAAGAAGCTTGACATAAAATAAATTCTTTATTATTCCCCTTATATGAAGGTCTAAAAAAAATGGAATGCTGACGTATAGAGTTGGGGGGAAAGAGCTGCAGATGGAATCAATTCTGAACAAAGGCAGAATGGAAAGTGTGGGGCATCTCCTGAAAAAGGTGAAAAACTTATTTTGACTGGTAAATAGGGTGCAGATTGAGACTTGACAGGAAAGTGAGGGTCATATTCTAAAGGCCTTGAAGACAATACTAATTTGGACTTTGTTCTATTGAACATTATGAGCTCTTAGTAATCCTTGAACTTCCTTATTGAAAACTTTATCTCTTTTGTTTGTTGGAATTCTTGGCTGTTAGAGGGTGAAGAGGTCTTAGAACAGCATGTTTCATCATGCCCTCTCGATGAATGTCTTGGATACTTAGCGTCCTTCCAGTTGTGCCTATGTTTATTTTCTGTTGTGGTAGGCTGAGTAATGGCCCCACAAAGATGTCCATGTCCTAGTCCCCTGGAACCTGTTGCTGCAACCTGCATGGTTGGGTTCAGGATCTGAAGGAGGAGCCAATGCAAAAATGAAAATACTAGAAAATAAATATGAATTATCAAGGGGTGGGGGGCCAGGTGGTGTCTCTTTCATGAAGAGCACACTGACCTCTGGCAGGTCCGCTTTTTATTTACTTGAATACACATTTTCCCTTTAGCAATGCATACACGCATATCAAAGGTAAAGTTTGGTAAACAGTAAAAGAATTATCAGGTTAGGGAAATTGCCTTGAACCACCACTATCTCAACACGAACAATCGGTGCATAGCATCAGCCCTACCAATGCCCAAGGTCCATCGGACTTCCGTGTTCCTTGGTGCACTATCATGATACTTTCAGCAGTGGGTGGCTTCCTGAAACCTGTGAATACTTACCTTATATAGTAAGAGGGACTTTGAAAATGTGATTGTTAAGGATCTTGAGATGGAAATTATCATGGATCCAGTGTAATCATAGGGGTCCATATACGAGGGAAATGGATAGATCAGAGACACAGGCAAGGCAATATGATAGAAAATACAAAAGGTTAGAGCATTCAAGAACCCAGAGGGCTCTTTGAAGGGATGTGTGACTCATGGATTCTCTCAGCTATCTCAGCAGAAGCCAAAAATAGATGAGACTCTTCAGTTAAGATCTGCGGAATAGCCTCTTTTCTGATGGCATGAATCTCTGTGCTCCACAAAGTGTTTTTAGAATGTCATACAAACACAAACATTTTCAAGTTGGACTAGAAAGGACAGAGGACAAACTTTTGAAAGAAGGCTATCAGACTCCCACAATACCACAGGCAGAAAACAGGCTAATAAAAACTACTGTGGCAGCCCTGGCTGGTTTGGCTCAGTGGATAGTGTGTTGGCCCACAGCCAGAAGTGGCTCAGGTTTTATTCCGGTCAAGGGCATGGACTCAGTTGCAGACTCGATCTCTGGCCCCAGTTGAGGCACGTGTAGGAGGCAACCAATAGATGTATTTCTCTCATATCCGTGTCTCTCTCTGTCTCTCCCTCTCCCTTCCACTCTCTCTAAAAAGCAATGGAAAAATATTCCCAGGTGAGGACTAACAACAACAAAAAAACACACACACAACTACTGTGGCAGATAAGTGCTACTCTTCATGAAAAAGGATGACTTTAGGATGGAGTCATGGGTCCAGAGGGCAGAGGCATGAGCCACTTGAGTTATTCCCAAGCTTTGAAACTTAATGGGGTTTCCCCAGGTGGACTTTAGAGGTGACTGGCTGGTGACTCCTTTTTGCCTTCATTTTCTCCCTTTTTAAATGGGAATGGCTGAAACTGTTATCCCTATACCTGCCCACCACTGCATTTTTGAAGAACATAACTTGCTGCCTAGTTTCCCAGTTCCACAAATAGAGGATTTTCTCCACTGTGGGTTATACCCAGAACTGCACCCATACCTAATTTAGATACGAGACTTGAGACTTTTGAGTGGATGAGACACATTCTGAGATTGTGGACCTGAGTTAATGCTATAATGGGCTGAGACTTTTGGGGACCTTTGGATGAGTGAATGAATGCATTTATCGTGTGGGATAGATGGATAGGAGTCTTTGAGAACCAGGGGGTAGACTATGATAGGCTGAATAATGGTCCCCCATCCCACTCCCAATATGCTGCCTTGCATAATAAAGGGGATTTACAGAAGTGACATACTGACAGAAAGACCAAGGCCTCTAGGTCAGAGACATAATTTATTATGAATAGGAAAAAAACACAAACACACAAACAAACAAAACAGCCAGATCAGCATTGTGTATCAATTCCCCATGCCCCAAGTCCCGCAGTATCATAGTATGGGACGGATGCTACCTCTGCATGCAATAGGAGACTAGGGTTTTATGGAATTGCTGGTACATCTTCTCATCCTCTCCTACAGAGAAATCACTCATTACTCAAGCAAACGTCTCTGGGGAGGGAGGAGAGGGCTCGATTTGTAATTCCCTGGAATGTCTCCAGGGAGAGATGCCTCTAGCTTCACTATCCTGGAATGTCTCCTCATACAAACATTCTTAACTTAGATGAAAATATTTTCAGAGAACCCAGACTGTACAGAAATGTGAGCTACTTACGGAGAATTGTCTTCTGACACTTTATTTCAAGCACCAGTGGGGGTGGGTGGAATCTATTACTTTTAATAGAACAGAAAACATGAACATTCAAATATTGTAATAATGCTAGGCTGATGGAAAGGAATTGCTGATCTATATGACTTTAGAGAAAGACCATGCCGAAAGAAACATCACCAGTAGGGTCAGGGAATAGGGAAAGAATGGCAGAAGGTGAAATTAGTTTGAGGAAAATATATTAAGCAATACATGTTACTTAATTATCAGCAACAATGTGAGAAAGTAACATCAATCAATGCCATTTATAGATGCTTCTAGAGATTATCTGACAAATGAAATTTTTTATTTTAAATATATTTTTATTGATTTCAGAGAGGAAGGGGGAGGGATAGATAGAAACATCAATGATGAGAGAGAATCATTGATTAGCTGCCTCTTGCATGCCCCACACTGAGGATTGAGCTCACAACCCAGGCATGTGCCCTGACCAGGAATTGAACCGGGGACCTCTTCATAGGTGGATGCTCATCCACTGAGCCATGATGGCCGGGCCAAATGAGATTTTAACATGTAAAAAAGGCAAAGAAATTTGCCGGGGTCCAGCCCCAGCGGTCCAGGGGTTCCCAAAGGTGTGGACGGAGTTGGCAAAGAATGTTTTACATGGAGACAGCGTGCAGGACGTGGAGGGAAACACTCACGACAGAAATTTCCACATATTTAATGCTTATTTCTGGGAATATGACCTCAAGTTACAGATGTTAGATATCAATTCATTTGCTCCTCAAATGTATACTCAATACTCACTCTGCATCATACAAGATGGATAGGATCTCTTTTCATAAGGAGTATTCATTCCAGGGTGGCAGACTGACAGAACTAGTTAGTAATCAAGTAAGAAAAAATATCACAAATTATATACTACAAAGAAATAAAAGGGAGAATATGGACAATTTACCCAAACTAAGGTGGTTAGGAAAGCCCTCTTGAGGGAAGGAACATTTCATTCACTCTCAAAACAGCAGAGTGAGTCTTCTAAAACCTAATTCAGACCATGTCTCTCCTCTAGGTTATCCTTCAATCGCTCTCCATTCCACTTAAAAAAATCCCAGAGGCCCTATAATGGTAGAGCCCTTTGTGATTTGGTCCCCAAATAGTTTCCTGACCCCCTTTTCTTATTCTTCTTCCCATAGCACTTGTATCTTCTAAATATTATAAAGCCCATTTATACCTATTGTCTCTCTCCTTGCCAGAACATTAGCTCTACTGTATCCCAAATGTCTCTAGAATAGTTCCTGGCCTCTAATAGAAGTTCATTAAATGTTTGTTCAATGAATATAAAATCACATTTTTTATTAATATTTAAGCATAACAAAAATAGAAAATAACAAAGTTATCACATAAAATTATATATTAACATTTAAATACAACATGGAAAAATACAAAATGGGAAACACAAAACCCAAAACCAGGTGAGATTAATTTAATGTGATGGGTGTGCTTGCTTGTTCATTCCAGTCTGGAACACAGGAGGACAATGCTACCTGCATACCTGCTGCACCATTCAATCCATTTCTTTTCTTCATTTTTAACTGGGTTAAGACTGAAAACCCTAGTTCACATAAACTAGTTGTTGTGAATGGTAATAATAGTAGAGTACTCTTTCTACTGAGCAAAGGAAAGACTTCCTTTATTTTAACCCAAAATACTGATAAACTTAATGTTTCATAATCATTCTTCAATGTATATGAGGAGCTGAGCTGCATTAATTCACTCTCTTCTTCAGGCAGTAAGTTTAACTCAACTATTGATTCTGGGTTTCGAAAAGCAAATGGATCTTTTACCCAACAGTTTTCTCTTAATGTTTCAAGTTTCTCTTCTGGAAATAAATGATTAAAAGTTTGAGATAAAGAGGGGAGATGTAACAATATTTCTAATTTTATTTCTTTAAAGTTGGTTTCATTAATAATATTCTTTTCAATATGTTGCAAAAATCTTGGAAACATGTAGTAGCTAGGCCGGTCGCTTTTAAGCCTTGCTTGCCATAACAATAATGTCTTTTGGAATCCTGGATACCTTCAACATGTTGGGATATATCACTGTTTTTCCCCTGTAGTTTTAAACTTAGTTCATTAAGAATGCCAAGAATATCAGTAAAAATTTGCCAATTTCATTACCCAAATGGCATCTTCAAAAATACTTGCCAAATAAGATTTTTTTTTCAATGAGAAAAATGTGAATCTCATTCCTAAGTTTGTAAACCTTGCTTAGTATTTCCCCTTGAGACAACCGCCGAACTTTGGTGTGATACAGTAAGTGGGTATGATTAGTTCAATCACTGAACAAAATGTTTCAAGAAATTGGCTGCTTAGTGAGCTTCCTTTAATGAAATTAACAACTTTCACTGCACTTTCAATACTTCCATGAGATTCTGTGGAATTTCTCTGGATGCCAAAGCTTCACGGTGTATAAAACAATGATTCCACACAGCACCATTATTAGTAACTTCTAGCAATTTTTTAATGACTCTGTTTTCCAGTTATGTTTGCTGTTTGTCACTTATAATTCCTCTGCAGTTTTTCCAGTTTAATTTATATTGACCAACAATGCACTTTTCTAACTCTTTAAAAATGTCTAATCCACTTAGGTCTGAAGTAAAATGTAAACAACACAAAAAATCCTCCATGAAATCACCTTGACACTCGTATCTGACATAAACTAAAAGTGTTCTACAACTCCCAACGTCAGTGCTCTCAAGCTGGATTGCAAAATCTACACCAGACTGCAACCGAGACATAAGATTGTTTCTAAATGTTCTGCAATAGCACAAATTCGAAGAAATATTGTGTTATCACTAGGAATAGTTTTTAATTTATCAGCTGATTTATCATAAAAATTGTACGTACCATATCCAAACATGCTGGAAGGATAATCTTTTCAGCAGCTGTGTGAACCATTTTCTCATTTGCCACACGATATGCAACCAAATATGATGATAATAAGGCTTTCTCACTGACAGAAGTAGAACAACTGAGAAATTGTGTTGATACTTTACATCTTTTTTCTTTCTTTGAAAATATTCAAGAGGTTTATCAGTAAGTTCAGCATGCTGAGTTTCTAAGTGCCTTTTTAATTTGGAAGGTTTTAAGCTTTCATTTGCAAGAATATTGTTACAAATAACATTGAGGTCTGTCATTTTCAAAGGGTTTTTCACATTTGATAAAACCATATTTTAAATCATCTTCATTATATTGTCTTGCACTTACTTTTTTCTTTTTGAAATGTGGCTCAAATAAAGTTGAAGTTTTCAGATTAGAATAAATATTTTTCTCAATAGCATCGTTATTCACACTTTCAGATCCAACATTTGAACCTGAACATGCTTCTGCATATTTCACTTCATTATTCTCTTTCTTTTAAAAAAGAAATGATCCATTTTAAAAAGCAATTTTGATTAAAACATTGTAATTGTCACAAACTCAAAGATATATATGTATACATCTGTAGCCTAGATAACACCTTTAACAATGCAGTTTTCAACTGAATCTCAATGACTTCACATCTAGTTACAAGTCATGGTAATATAAAGCTAGACTGCACATCAACCTTATTATGAAAACCAAACAAGACACCAGTGGACAAATGACTGACAAAACCATTTTTTAGCCAATATACATTCTATTCATCATATCCCCTCCATCAAATATCTTTTCACATATTGAAACTGACCTTAGTATTTCTTGCAATGTGCACAATTCTCACAAAGGATTTATGGAAAATACTCTGATAATTTATAACTTTTTTGTCTTTAAAAAATATTCATCATGACTCACAGAATGGATTTCATGACCTTCTAATCCAGTGGTTCTCAACCTTCTGGCCCTTTAAATACAGTTCCTCATGTTGTGACCCAACCATAAAATTATTTTTGTTTCTACTTCATAACTGTAATTTTGCTACTGTTATGAATCGTAATGTAAATATCTGCTATGCAGGATAGTCTTAGGCGACTCCTGTGAAAGGGTCATTCGACCCCCAAAGGGGTCTCGACCCACAGGTTGAGAACCACTGTGAATCTAATGGGTCACACACATAATGTGCAAAACATTCATATAGAGACATTTTCCACTGTTGTGTTGGTAGCTTGAGCATGTCTGCTTGATGACCAAAGAAACTAGCTGATCTGTTAGACTGCTGACTGGTACAGGAACTTTCTTGAAGTGGTAGATCTATATCTTAGATCAGGGGTCCTCAAACTACGGCCCGCGGGCCACATGCAAATACAAATATTGTATTTGTTTCCGTTTTGTTTTTTTACTTCAAAATAAGATATGTGCAGTGTGCATAGGAATTTGTTCATAGTTTTTTTTTAAACTATAGTCTGGCCCTCCAACGGTCTGAGGGACAGTGAAAAAAAGTTTAAAAAGTTTGAGGACCCCTGTCTTAGATTGTCTTAGATTGTCAGTCCTGATACTTTTTGATGGGAGAGTTTTTAAGAGTGCCAGTTATGGTCTGATTTAGTGAGGCTCCAATGAAGTTTTCCATGGCTAGGTCAACTATCAGGTGGGGGCTGGTGATATATGTTTCAGTACTTTCTTGGAATGCATCCTTGACCTAGGAATAAGAACAGAGACATGACATTAGAGCGTTACAATACAGAGCAATATTATTGTCAGCTCTGGGGACCTTTACAAAATCCAAGCTCGTGGGTGCTGAAGCTCCTCATCACTCTGTTATATAGGCTTAAGCCTATTTCTGTAAGGCAAACCTCCTCAGCACAGATTAGTAAATAGAAAAATTATGTCAGCCTGGCTGGTGTGGCTCAGTGGTTGAGCATCAACCTATGAGCCAGGAGGTCAAGGTTCAATTCCTGTTTGGGGCACATGCCTGGGTTGCAGGCTTGATCCCCAGCAGGGAGCATGCAGGAGGCAGCTGATCAATGATTCTCTCTCATCATTGATGCTGCTATCTCTCTTTCCTCTCCCTTCCTCTACCTGAAATCAATAAAAACTAATTTAAAAAGAAAAACTATGTCAGTAAAACCTGCAAGTTGGCATCAGGAATTGCAAGGTACGCTGATAAAGCTGAATACAGCAAGCCATGATGGAGTAGAACTCATTCACTACATAAAGTTGTCCTGCAGTATTCATGTGGGATTGGTTCTAGGTCCCGTCCCCCGCCCCAGACACCAAAATCTATGGATGCTCAAGTCCCTTAAATAAAATGGCATAGTATTTGCATATAACCTACATTTGCATTATAGGCTACAGCAGGATGTGCCTATACATCACTTCTTTCACATAAATTGAGTGTAGTGCACTAATGCTTAAGATGTGTGCACTGAGGTTGACTGTTGTGGATATATAACCATACTTCAGAGCTATGATGCTGTGCATCTAGCTTAGGCATCCTTTAGGAAATAACTCTAATTAAGGTGACCGAATGCCTGCAGTTGAAAATTTCTTATATATCAAGATGCACTAATACAGTCATGTGATATGGTTTCAGGCTAGTGATTTTCCACTAATGTATCTTTTTATCTACCTATAGTAGTGTTTATTATATGGTAGGTACTCAATAAATATATTTGAAAGAATGAGAGAATAAATTAACACCTGTACTAAGTCATACAATGTGCATTCTATTTTTTTTAATGTATTTTATTGATTTTACAGAGAGGAAGGGAGAGGGATAGAGAATTGGAAACATCGATGGGAGAGAAACATTGATCAGCTGCCTCCTGCACACCTCCCACTGGGGATGTGCCCGCAACCAAGGTACATGCCCTTGACCGGAATCGAACCTGGGACCCTTCAGTCTGCAGGCCGACGCTCTATCCACTGAGCCAAACCAGTTAGGGCTGTGCATTCTATTTTTATCAGTAAGTGAAAATTATGTTACTGAACATACAATTTGGTAACATGTAAGACAAAGGCTGATATAATATATTATTTAAAATAGGATCATCAAACATCTATTTCAAAATAAACTACTTATAATGTTACATAGTAGAAACAATGGTCTTATAAAATCATAAATATCAATTATATTTAGACTTAGCATATAAAGCTCAATACCTAATCTACCTGAAAATAAAAAAACTCACATAAAAAAACTAACATCTCATTTATATTACTATAGGTATGGGTTCTTTACATTTTTTAGACAAAACAATTCTCTTCTAATCATTCTGTTCTTTTATATTTTACTGTTCCCATTTCAATCCAGTCATGTGAGTTTATAATTGGCTATGCTTCAGAATGTAGTATTAAAAAGTATTCTCAAAGGGCTTTCTCTCCTCATACAACTTACTTACAGTAATAGCACAGGTAGTGTATTAGGGTATAGACTTTGTAGATGTGAGGATGAAACCATGGGGAAGTCCTTTTCTGGAATAGGATGTAAGGAATCAGCTAAATGGGAGGCAGGAGAAAATGTTGCAAGTTTGATAGAAGGTATGAAATAGTTGTCTAGGGAAGGGATACCATGAACTAAGAAATTGTTTCAGAATTTTAAGTGAGTCTGCATGATCGACTTACATGTTTAATGCAATGATCATTATTGTTATGAGGTCTTTAATTACCTGCCACTAATTTTTACCTCTTAGACATATCTTCATGGTGCTATATTATCCTCTAAAAATACAGCTCTGATCAGTTTCCTCATAATTCAAAAATGGCTCTGAGCTAGTGTAATCTCCTCAGATAATATTCTTTAAATCTAAGCCCCATCCTGTCTTCCTAAGTTTCTCTTTCACCACATATCTCCATACAATTCTACATTTTAAGTTCTAAGACTATGGAAGTTCGTGAAATACCTCATGCACTTTCACATTTTTGCTTTTGTTCAGATTAATGTTCCCTTTGCCTGGAATGCTTTTCTTGCCTTAAGTCATTTGGAATCCTATTAATTATTTAGGTTTTAGCTCAAATACTATAGCATTCATCTATTCAACCAACAGTTAAGCACTTACAATGTGTCAGGTACTGGGGATACAAAGCAAGAAAACAAATACTGATTTATTCATGTAAGGAAATACCTGTGTCCAGCTGTTGCAATGAATGAAGGAAAGTTACATAACACTGACAAATCTTAAAAAGCATTAAGTAGTCCTGGCCTGTGTGGCTCAGTGGATAGAGCATCGGCCTGCGGACTCAAGGGTCCCAGGTTCGATTCCGGTCAAGGGCATGTACCTTCGTTGCTGGCACATCCCCAGTAGGGGACGTGCAGGGGGCAACTGATCAATGTTTCTCTCTCATTGATGATTCTAACTCTCTATCCCTCTCCCTTCCTCTCTGTAAAAAAATCAATAAAATATATATATTTTTTAAAAAGGCATTAAGTAAAAGAAAGCTGTGAAAGAATATATAAATTACTGACTGCTAAAAATATGCAAAACAACACTGCATGTGTAATTAAAAATTAAAATGTAAAGTTGCTTGGGAAAGTGGTCATCTTGGGCAAGAGGGAATAGAATGTGATTTGTGGAGCAGACAAAGGACCTCAATTACTTATATCATAATTGATTTCTCCAGTTGAGTGGCAAGTACACATGTAGTATAGTTTTATTTCTACCTGTGTCAATCTAAAATATTCTATTTTTTTTTTTCAAAGTATGTATAAGGCTTGATTCCCTCTGGAAGGCACTGCAAGCCTTTCTCATAACCAATCACTGAAAATTATTTCCATCCTTGTTCCCCCCTTTATTTCCCACCTTGTCATCGCGCACACATCAGTACACAGGCCTGCTGAGTGGGAGCTCCCAGGTATGAGCTTTAATAGATGAGAATGCAGCCTTCTCCCTGGGAGATCCCCGACTGTTCCCTCCAACCCTCTGGGGCCACAATGCCTTTTAAGACCTTTGGCCTGACCCTGCCGGCCGACCCTAGAATGTCTCCCTTCAGATCCTGTATTGCTGCCCCCCCCCCCCCCCGCCCCCGGGAGAGGTCAATTCATCCTTTGAGCAAAACCTAGAAGATGTGTTTCCCCCCAACGAACCCCGGAATGTGTCCCATTGGCGGACTCCGGTCCATGCCCACCAGAGGTTGCCTTTCTTCCTCCTCACCTCCAGCCCAGCTCCGTGAACCTGGCGTCTAGCCCTTGGATCCGCGATTCTGCTCGCCCCACATGCCCTAGGGGCAACTCCACTTCCGGCCTCACCTCCGCATCCGCAGATATCCCACTTGGAGCCGGAAGAGGGCTGTCTCGGTTTCTGCGCAGCGCGGAACCTGGGGGCCGGTTCCGCTTTCTCGCCTTCCCGTCACTCTCCGTCCCCAGCGACATTTCCTACTCTCGCGTGAGGTCTTTGAACGCTCTGGCGGGAACCACAGCTGGCCGCCCCGAGTCGGAGAGTTGGGGACTCATTGTGTGGTCAGTGGGTCCTGCCGCAGCCGCGCGCAGACGGGCCTCGTCCCCGCGGGTCGCGCCACCACGGGGACGGAGAAGAGGCGGCGGCCCGTTCGGAAGGCCCTCGAGCTGGCGCAGCAGCCGCACCGCAACCCGGCGAGGCTGGCGGTGGCGCTGAGCCGCACCTACCGCAGTCCCCGCGCGGGGCACCGCCCATCTGCCTCCCCTCGTCCTCCCGGTCCAGCTAGTGCAACTGCGAGCGCACTCGGAAGTAATTTGACAGTCTTTGTAAGAGAATTTTAAAGAATTCATCACTAATATTATTTTACCTGTTTCCTTATTTAGAGAGCCATGTTGTATTTAATAATCACATACACATGTAATATAGTTTTATCTTTATCTTTGTCAGTCTTAAATACTAAAAATCAGTGATTGGTTTTTTAACATGCATCTGCATTTCACTAAGTATATTTTAAATGTAATATTAAATGCATATGTATATTTCTGTTTCTGCCCTGTAATGATTTTAACTTAACTATTAACAAAATAGGTTGGCACAAACAAGTGACCCTGGTTACAAGCCAACTCTTTTGAAATAAATTATAATAAAGTATAGTGTAAGAAAGAGAACAAAGTTAGATACAGAACTTTTCAACTCTAAGACTTCACATGACTTTGTCAGCACTTCTTTACTTCAAGTTACCACTTCTTTTACTAACAAGATTACACAAAGAGGTTTTTACTAAATATTTGATTAGCAAATATTTTTTTATATGGCTCAGTCCAACACATAGACTTGAGCTACATGAAGCTACATAAAGGAACCACATACAAAGTACATGAAAAGCCATACACTGGGAAACTCGCTGGGTCCCTAGTCCCCGTCCAGTGCACTTCCTCGCGGTCTCCTGTCGATAACCACCTTTAACTAGTTTCCTGCTTATCCTCCCAGTCCTTCTGTAAATATAAGCAAATGCGAATACATGTACTTATTTCCCTCCATCCCACCGTCACTATTCTCTGGATTTATACCTGTTATTTCTTCATTTACACATATTCCATCCCCACGCTACCTGCACTTCTACCCAGCTGACTACAAGTTCAGGGATTTCCACAGCTACCCACCCTCTTCCACAGGGATGATCATTTTTTTTTTAATTGATTGAAGAGAGGAAAAGAGGGAGAGAGATTGAAACAGCAATGATGAGAGAGAATCATTGATCAGTTGCCTCCTGCACACCCCCCTACCGGGGATTGAGCCTGCAACCCAGGCATGTGCCCTGACTGGGTATTGAACCATGACCTCCTGGTTCATCATGGTTCATAGGTTGACACTCAACCACTGAACCACACCGGCTGGTGACAGGAGTGATAAATCTTTAGAATGATGGACTATTCAAGAAAGTGCTATACTTACTATTATAATCTATAATAATAAAAGCATAATATGCTAACTAGACTGGACAGCCGAACAACCTTCCAGATGTCATTCTGAATGAAGCTGCGGCAGCGGGGGCCAATGCAGAGGCAGTTAGGGGCGATCAGGCAGGCAGGCAGGCGAGCGGTTAGGAGCCAGCAGTCCCGGATTGTGAGAGGGATGTCCAACTGCCAGTTTAGGCCCAATTCTGGCAGTCAGACATCCCCCAAAGGGTCCCAGATTGCGAGAGGATGCAGGCCGGGCTAAGGGGGACCCCCCTCCCCCCATGCAGAATTTCGTGCACTGGGCCTCTAGTTTTATTATAAAGCGTACAACTGAGAAACAGTCAAATGGAAGAGATACATAAAGCAAGTATAGGGGACAAGGAGTGCAGATCTGGGTGTGCCACCCTCTCAGCACCTTGGTGTATTCACCATCTTGGAAGCCTCTTGAGCCTGATTGTTTAGGGTTTTTTATGGGATGTCATTGAGCTGGCATGATTGATTAAATCACCAGCTATTTGAACTCAAATCTCTAGTCCCTGTCCCCTTTCTGGGAACCAGTGGATGGGCCTGAAAGTCCCTGCCTATAATCACCTCGCTGGTTTTTCTGGTGACCACCCTGTATCTGGAGGCTATATAGGATCTCCCAACCATGCCAAGACTCAGCCCTAGTGGAAAGGAACTCATGAATAATAGAAGACACTGCTATCAGGAAATTCCAAGGGTTCAGGAGTTATGTAACAGGAAACAGACAATGATTAAATATATTTTTATTATACCACAAAAGTAATACAATTAACACACATATCTAATACCTAATTATCAGACTCTACTTGTTCCAGTCTGGTGGAAAAAGAATGGAATATTTTTCTCATGTTAATTGTATTTTCTTGATAACTAAGAGTTGAATATCTTCAGGTTTCTTGTTCCTACATCAATAAAATGCCTTTTATATCTTTGTGCACTTTTCTGTTGAGCTATTTGTTGTTGTTTTTTTTCTTACGGATGGATAAGAATTAAATGAAAGTAAGATGTATCTATTAATGGACTGTCCTCTTTTATATCTCATTTAGGAAATTCTTCCCAGTTTTCATAGTAAAAAATATATTCTCATATTTTTAACAATAAATATGTGCATGATCCTGAACCTGTCAGATGTGAAAATAAAGTGTAGTTAAGCATAGGAAATGGTTTTTGCCCCAAACACTGAAAAAAGAAGTCATTTCTAATTTGAAATAGGGGTTTGGGATATCTTGGGAAAAAGCTGTACTGTGAGTTGACAATTGTTGAATCTGATTGGGTATATTAATTTTACAGGTTTTGGTTTATTTTGTTAATACATGCAGATTACATCATTTAGATAATTGGGCCTATAGTGACTACTTTTGTATGTGTGTGTGTGTGTGTGTGTGTGTGTGTTAAGATTTTGTACTTAGAATTCCATTTGTTCAACAGGAGTGGTGATATATCAGGTAACATACAAAAAATTAATAGACTAGAAAGTCAAACTTTTTTTATTTACTATTATGAAAATTTTTGCACTGCCTGGGTAGCTCAGTTGGTTAGAGTGTCATCCTGATACACCAAGGTTTCAGGGTTAAAGCCCCAGTTAGGGCACATACAAGAATCAACCAACAAATGCATAAATAAGTAGAACAACAAATCAATGTTTCTCTCTAAAATCACAAGGAAAGAATTTCAACATAGAGAATAGTAAAATGAGCCCAACAACCTAACACCTAGCTTTAAGCATTAATAATATTTGGCCAAATTTTCTGTTCCTTTATCCCCTCCCTTCCCACCACAAAAACATTTCAAGCACACCGCCCCCACCCCCCATCAAACACCCCACTCCCAACCAGAATTGTTTTAAAGAATCTTGATCATCATAACATTTCATCTAATAACTAGTATTTGGATTTTTAAATTTTTTTCAAAAAAATGATTTTTCACACTTGGTTCTTTGAATTAGGATCTATACTGTGTATACATTTCCTTTGGTTGATTTTTTTGGTATCTCTTTTAATATATAACAAGCTCTCCCTTTAAGAGTAAATGACTAAGTTAAAGTTTGACTTTTTTGTGGGGGAAACAAAAAATAGTTCTTATGTGGTAGTTTATAAACACTACTACATACATATCAGGAGGTGAAAGGCTTCAATCATATTTTGAAATGGTGTCCTGATACATATGAATTAAGAATTATAAAGCAATAATAAGTTTTCTGTAAGCTATATTCCTCTGTAGTCTTATCACCTCCAACCTCCCTGTTTTTACAGATGGGGAAAATAAGGCCCAGAGAGTTAAATATCTGCCAAAGGCCAAAGCAGCTAATTTAATGGAAGGTAGGGCTCTTCTTCACCTTAAACTACTTTTAAAAATTTGCCTCACTTGCATATGCCATAATCTGAAGGTATTTGTGCATCCAAAAAGAAGAGGCAGTCAGGATGGCATTTCTGCCTGTCCAGCTAGCTTTTGTGACTGAAAAGGTAAAACATTGTACATTGTAAACTTTCAACACCCTTTGAGTAGTCCTGTGTTTTGCATTGCCAGTGTGATAGCTAAGACTTGAGTTTGGAAGTCAGAGAGAGAGGCCTAAGGTAGGACTAAGCCTGAAGCCTGGTAAATCCAGGAATGGAAGAAAGCAAAGAAATCTTTATAGGCTACAATAGTAGTCAGTTATTTAGTCCTAAATAATTTTTATTTGTGGTATTTGTTCACCTCATTTATTTTTATACTGGTATGCTTTTTCCCATTTTAGTCCCTGCTTGTCTTATAAATAACCGAGTTAATGTTAATTTGAATAAAATAAATTATGTAACAAAATATAGATAGTGAACACTAGAGGGAAGTTACATTCCTCTACTGATTACATAACTGAGCAGATGCTGTAAAATCAGTGATGCGAAAAAGTCATCTGCAGCCTGGTTACACTTCACTGAAATATCTCAGAGTTGTTTTATCTGATGTATAAACGTAGTCTTTAGTGGTAGGCTCACTGCTTTCTTTTTCAGTGACTCCCACTGCACTGATGGGAATTTGCAAAAACAATGATTGTCGGCATATGACAAATTATCTTTAAAAAAACCCTTTTTTAAAAATATACTTTTTATTGATTTTAAAGAGGAGTAGGAGAGAGATAGAAACATCAATGATGAAAGAGAATCATTGATCAGTTGCCTCCTGCATGCCCCCTACTGGGGATGGAGCCTGCATGTGCCCTCACCTGGAATCCAACGGTGACCTCCTGGTTCATAGGTTGACACTCAACCTCTGAGTCATGCCAGCCAGGCTATGACAAATTATTCTAAAAGCCTTTATCTTGATCATTTTCTAACAATAGAAATGAGTTGGCCAATGGGAGAAGGGAAAGATTTATGACTGAAGTAAAAGTTTCATGAAACTTTACCTTTGAAAGAAGAAGAAAGTGATCACATACAATTTTACTAATACTTAAATGCAACTTGGAGAAATAATCCCAACTAAACACAATATAAATAACAATTGAGGAATATTTAATGTGATTAGTGTGCTTTCTGTTCGGAAGTTTATTCCAGTCTAGGGCAATTCTCACGTATTTGATACAATAGTAACCCTGTTTCCTTTGTTTTTAATTGGATTAAATATTAAAAGTACTAGTAATTAGTGCTGCATTCTTCTTTGTAATGAGAAGTTTTATTTCATCCAAAAGAATCATAAATTTAATGTCTCATGGTCAATCCTTATTGTTTATGGAAAGTAAGCTATAATTCATGTTCCTAATTACCAAGTGTAACTCAACTTTTGATTCAGCGTTTTAGAAAGCAAATGAATCTCCTGATATTTTTCTTTGAATGCATCA